TATGGAGTACCTCAGAGAATCATCAATTTGCCAATAGAGCTGTAAAAAGCACTAAGGGAGTCATCAGAAGAGAGTGTTGTGGTCGAACTGATTTAGCATCAAGATTCGAGTGCGCCAAGAGGAGGTGCTTTTACCTCCATTATAAAGCATGGTGATAGATTACGTGATGCGGAGGAGCGTCCAACAGCGCAGGATTTACTTTTAGACGACGATTCAGCCGAAGGTACACAGCAGTACTCACAACAAATCTTGAAAACGCTAACGAAATTGTACTGCTCAGCGACCCCGGCGACGGTTTACTAGCACCAACTCGAGAAGGCGTCGAATGTAGGCCTAGAAGTTAACCCCACCAAAATCAAGGTCATGTGAATACCTGGCGTGACTAACGACTCAAAAATTGAATGGAGTGAAACTACAGTTGAGGAGGTGTGATACTGCAAGTACCTCGGCTCTGTACTGGCAAAAGATGGAAGTTGAGTATGAAAGTAGAGCGGCACTTAGGCTGGTTGACGTCTCCATGCTTCGGGTGACTTTCTAAAGTGTGGCAAGACTGATCTATTGTGACAGCAACAAAGACCATGATACTTAAAGCCGCCATCCTCTCAATTCTGAAGTGCAGGTTTGAAATATAAACTCTTTTAAAGCACAAAGGAAAGATGTTGAATGCCTTTCAGCAGCACTACTTGCGGAACGTTTTGAAGGTGTGATGATTCCGTCAGATAAAGAATGAAAAATCTTGGAAACCACCGGCCTGAGAATACTGTCTCAAGAAGTCAGGAACTGACATCTGTCGCGCACAGAACCTTTCGTAGAGAGAATAGAAACTCATCCAATGGTGTTCTCCTCGAGGAAGCAAAACATGTCCGCATGCGGATGGAAGGCCAACATCTCACCTTAAAGCAGCTGCTAGAGGAAGACTGGGTTGCGACGAGGAATATGGCTTCTGCCGCAGCAACAACATCGCCTAAATCATTCTAAGAAGCCGAAACTTCATGCTATCATTAATCTGGCTACTCAGACCTTGACCTGATGCCCAGATGACGATGACAACAACAACGGCTGAAATAAACATTTGTGGCATTTTAGGATAGTATCAATTAACAATTTCCATTATGTCGAATGAAGAGAAGATATTTGCATTGATATTCTCATCGCGTTGAAAAACACGCTTGAATGAAACTGCCTTCAATAATTTCCAGCTCAAGGAGCACCCCTGAAATGGACTTGGTTCGTCAAGAATGGTCAAGTGTAAACCGGATTCTGACTCTCCAAACAGGATATATGATCCAGTGTTGGAGGATGAAGTCCTGTCCGCAGAGTGACTGCAGCCATGAGATCAGACAACGCGTCATGTTATTTCCAATTGTCAGTTGTGAAAGTCTGACGGTAGCACAGCTGATTTACAAAGATTGACCTAGAGTGGAAATCAGATATGAGACTTGTACTCCACTACCCAGCCGTATGACAAAAGAAGTACAAGAAGTACTCTACCCATTATGAACAACAATCTTTAATCAGCAAAGTTTTAAACTTGAGTTGGAATAGCTAGGTGAAATAAAGTGCATGGGAAACCGGAAGACTCTCCAAAGCAACGAATGTAAAACTATAGCAATCATTTGCTCAAATCAAATCTCCAATAGCGACGGTGAAGATCATCTTAGCACTGCCCTGTATTACGTAAATAAAACTTCAAAAAAGCATACCATGAGTGGCATGTGGCTGGATTTTACGGAGACTTGCCACGGTCTCCAACCCTCCTCCTTTCTCATCCGGGCTTGGGACCGGCCATGGCGGAGTTTGGAGTGACCAAAAGCAAACCATGCAGAAATGATTTTCTTGTTAGGAAAAGCAAAATTAAACATAAGAATAGTGTTCAATGTTGAAGAAGAGGTTTATTTTATCTGAAAAGAACTTCTTACGCTTTTGTTTGTGTAATAAATTTGTGTAATATCAGGAATACAGAATCTGAAGGATTTCTTTCTATCCGTACCAAAATATCGCCTGCCCTTCAAATAAATGACCAGATCTATTGTTTAAAGGGCAAAGTTATTTCAATATATTCCTTTCATTTTTTTCAACGAGCATATGGAAAATGTTGTCCTGCATTGCTTGATATCCTCTATGAAACCCCTTCCTGATCTTCTTTGTTTTGTCCAAAATTCAGCATCTTTTTAAGACAGTAGCGAAGATGAGGAAACGATCTCTCCGTTTATTTTTGGGATTAATGAGACAACGGGTAGCAACTCTTCAAACCGAATCTATAGTTCAAGTGTCCCTTTCTTATGAATACCCGCTTAGACGATGTATGAGATCTGAGCATCCGCAGTTACCATCTGCCAACCGCAAATAGTCAGATTTTTTATGGCAACAACAATGAAAAGGATCATTACGTCAGGGTGTTAAGACCGATCATAGACTTTTGGCCATTGTTT